TTGCTACATTACTTCTTTTAAGACAACTTTTCTTCCTTTTTTGGCAGTCTATGGTATCTTCAAACTTCTTCATCAGCACCACAATTCAATTCCTCTTCAGTCTTATTTAGTATCCAACTTTTACATGCACATAAGTAAAATGAAAACATCATGGCATAGTTTAGGTGCACCTTAGTACTTTACTCCTTGATCATTAGAACTTTAAAGAGATCCTTGACAGCACATTTGCCCAAAGTAATATATCGTGTTATTTTTTTGACTGCTGCTTATGTGAATATTATATTCTGTAAGCAGCATCTTGCCATATTAAAAAAGTATTATTTTCTTGATAAAAACGTGATTATATAAACTTGACAATTACTTGTTTACGGTATTCAATCTTTCTTCCACTCTTATTGTGGTATAGGTAGAAGCAAAACATAGCTGAACTGTCACTGGGCTTCTGAGGCTGTAAATCACATGGGAAGAGATTGACCCTCTTTTTTCCCCATGGGGCACCTAGTGGATTTGAACCACCAGAGAGTCTCAGCCTTTAGGTTGTCAATGCTATGTCATATAGATTCTTTTTAATAATTGTGTGTAATTGATCAGCAGGGAAAATAAACTCTCAAAAGATTGTTTTTCCTTCCAATTTCATTTCCCTGATGTACAACATCATCTATCCTCTCCTGAAAGCTCAAGGGATAAAATGATTGTCTTATGATTATAAGATAATGATATGGCTTTTTGTTACACTGGGTACTTTTGGGTTAATTTGTATTTTCTCTTTGTGTAAGGACTATGACTTAGTCATTCTCACTCCTTTTGCCACCAGTTTTTTAAAACTATACTTACTCTTCCAACTCAACTCCTTATATATCCTTTCAAATTATAGTTATGTCAACTATGCATGCATGTAAATGTAGTATATTACCAATGAATTATAGTTTTTCATTATTTTCTGTTAAAAAAATCCCATCCACTTTTCTATTCTTAATTATCATATCCACTGAACTTGTATATCTTGCTTAAAAGGAGATGATGCTACTATTTCACCACTAGTAAGTCAAGTTTCATTTTATGGAAGATATAAATATCCTGTGATATGGAAGATAAATAGATGATCAAAGACTTTTTGGTAATTTAAGATAAAATCATGAGTGTTGACCCATTTAAGTAATATGATTTGCAATTCTTGTGATGTATAGTATTTTAATGTCTCCTATGTCTAAGGTTGTAGTATATGACTTGAGAACTTTCAGTTACTCTCAACATATATAGTATCATTTTTCTTTATCTTTGATGGTACAATATTTGAGACAGGACTTGTAGAGTTTGTTAAAGTATCAAGATCTTTGATAAATCACTGTGGATGAGGGAACAGTGTGCTATATTTGTTCAAATAACCTAGATATTTCTCATTTAGCTCTATTATTTGCTTTTTACAACACCAAAACTTTCAGTAAACCAGATAATTCTTCTAGAAACTGAGTCAGAACATATTACCACAAAAGTTTTGTTTTTCTGAAAAATTTTATTTCACTCTTTACCCTAAAGGACCCCGATGGTGCTATGATTATGAACTTGAATGTCCTTTGAGAGACTGGCAATTCATACCTGCCACCGCTCTGTGGGAGAAAAGATCTCCTCACATGCTATCATGTATCAGCCTAGGAAAGCTTTGGAAAACCTGGTAACATAGTTCTACTTGGCCCTGCAGGATAGCTATGAGTCAGAATCCACTTGACAAGAGAAAATAACTTACTTCATGAGTGACCTCAAGGTTGCCATCTTTTGGGAGACATTTATGCATATTGTGCATATCACCAGTTATGAGCCAATAAAGTATCTCTCCTTCTACAAAGAGGAGCCTGACATCATCGACAGGTGAGACTAAAGGTTTTTATTAATATTTTTGTCATTCATAAACATTGTATTTTATGCATGTATACTATGTTTTATACAGTGTTTCATTCCTATTGTATTTCATTCATCTATGTTGTGGGGGATTTTCCCCCCTTACAATCATCTTCCTGATACCTGTTTTCAGGAAAGCATGTAAGCCAATTATTCCCTCCCTAATGAACATCTCCCTTTTAGATAGCCAATTTATAATTTGCTCATCCCTATCAAACCAGTACCCTGAGTGAACAAGCATGTCCCTTTTCCTGAAGGATCCACTGTTCAAATTGGAAACTTCAAGCACCTGCATCAAAAAACAAAGTTTAGTCCAGAGCAAGTCCTCTGGTTGCAGCAATCTGTCCTAACTCACAGTATGGATTATCTTCTCTTCATTTGATTGGGTTTTGATCAATTCATCCCCAGCCATCCTGGCAAGGAAGAATAAAGTTTTAAGTTTAGTTGTATATTTCTTTTATGTTCTTATCATATCAGCTGTGGTGGTTTTATATATGTGTGGCAATCATTTTTATCCCATCATGACACCATGGAATATACCTATCACAATTCACCTCCCTCCTTATCTATATTTTACAAAAACTATTCCTTTTATGAAAGTTTCATATTTTATTCCCGATGTTGGCAAAGCATATCTTTATAATTACTTTTCTTGGTATATAAGTGCTACACTGCCTGCCTGTGTATAAATAAAATTATTATTTTGGAATTTTTATTCCAAACTGGCACAGAAATTACAGGTATAAATTTTGACAAATTCTGTAAAAGCTCTCTGTGCCCTATTTTTATCTATGAAAACGAAAACTCTACATACATTCTAAAACACTGTGAATGTGCATATATGTTTATGTTTATTTCTTTTCTTTAACCTCTGTTGGTACACAAGTAAGTTTCACCCCTTGGGAGTTGTATTTGGAAATTATTGAAGGTTGCCTAGGAATGGGGCCATGACACTGTGTTTTGAGAAGATGTGCATATAATATGTCCTCTCTCTGTCTCTCTCTCTCTGTCTCTCTCTCTCTTGTAAATCCTGAAGTATTCCTTTTGAGATAGCTCAATTAATTAGGGTGCTGGATGGTAGAGAATTTTGTCAGTCAACTATTTACACACAGTAAATACTGTTTCTTAGGCAAAGCCAACATTTTTTATGGAGTTGTAAAATTCCATTATATTCCATTACCAAAAAAACAGTAAGAACTTTGTATAGCTGTATCAAAAAAGCAACTAATTTTCTAAAGAATAAACATTTAAAGTCAGTAAAAAAACCAAAAAGTAAGGATTTATACTTCAGCTTCTATTATCTATTCTACTCAAAACTGGTTGAACTCTAATAAATTTCCAACTTTTTTTGTAAAAAGAATATTCTAATACCATCAAAAGAATGCTCCTGAAACCAACTGATATTGTGCATTTTTCCTGTGTGGGTTTTTAGACTTATACATTGGTCTTTGGTAGGATATATTTTGTTTTATTCTTCTTGTATCAAGAAGAACTTAATTTAGGTTGTCTTTGCATGTTTCTGACAGTTGTAAGATTTTTTTTCTTAACCACTCTTTATTGAATATCGAAGATTAAGCAGGATTCATAACAAATACACTGCTATGTTACTTTAGTTCTGAACCTCCTATGGTCATGTGATATTCCAATGGCCTGTTTTATAATGTATGTATTCAATGAATTCTAATTAAGGTACTCCTATATGTCATAAACTGTGCTAGACACTGGAGACCCAATAAAACCTATAATTTAATTTTGAAAGTGTAGTGTTTTTGTTATATGGTAATAACTCAAAACTCATTACCATCAAGTTGGAAAAATGATACTCCATTGGTTTTCTAAGTCTGTAAATAATACTACATATGATTATCTGTCTATCTCTTGAAAAACTACTAGTGGATTCAAACTACAAAAATACTTAGCCTTTATGTTAGCAGTGTAACTTACTACAGACAACATCACCAGAATTTCCTCTGATGATATGTAATATAAAAAAACCCAAATAATGAGTAAGAAGAAATAAGTTGAGATTATTTCAATATTAAATAAATGAGTCATAAATGAGAAATTATTTTTAGTGTTGACCCTGGGAATTAAACTGCCAAACCAAACACTGCACATCTCTAATGGCTTAAATCTACCAACAATTCCACAAGAGAAACATGGGAAATTTCCTCCTGTGTGAATTATAGTCTCAGAAACCAAGGAAATGTCAGCTATAAATTGATCCTGTTTTGAGAGGAATAAGTTTGAGCCTGCAGGAGGCAAAAAATGAACCATAGATATGAAAAGTTCAAAAAAAGGGAATAGTTGCTTTAGCTTTGCTGATGACCTAGTGTTAAGAAGCTGCACTGCAATCTCAAAATCACATGTTTCAAATCCCCCAGTTACTCTGTGGGAGAAGGATGGACAATTTCCTTCCTTGTTAAAGAAACTGTTTTTGAAACTTGCTGGAGGGTTAGCTATGAATCTGTTCCAACTCGAAGCACACACACAACATAACAATAGGATGGATTTTTTACCAGTGGAATAATATGATCATATCTTATCGCTGGTTGATGTTTTGAAAATAATTTGAATATAGTCAAGGGAATGTAGGCATAGTGTTAGAACATTATGTCAATAATTTAGGGGATAATTGAGTGAGAGTATTATATTTAAAGTGGGAGAAGTTAGACTCAAGATAAATTTGGTGATAAATATATGTGACAGAAAAATAATTGCTATGAGAGAAGATAAATATAATATTGAAAACTATACAGTGGTTCTCATATGTAAACCAATATCTATTTAAGTAAATTCATACTAATAATGTAAAACATCACTTCAGTCATTGGAAATCTAAATAGCATTTTAATTTTTTTTTAAAAATTAATGCTAACCACTTTTCATAGTCTATGAATATTTTAAAATCTTTTCACATATATTAGGAATTGGCCATTTTTTATATTTTAGAAGAGTAATTAAATTTAAAATACAGTTAAGTAAATAAAAAACAACAAGTAAATGATTAGTTTTGTATTGGCTAATGTTTAATCATTACATTTCTTACGTTTTCTGCCCTATCCACAGGTGGTCATTTTTCCTGACCTCAGTTGAATACAGTGATGGGACTGGCCAATGCAAGTACTCCCGAAGTATTTTTATTACTAGGTTTTTCTGCTAGACCCTCCTTGGAACCTGTCCTTTTCGCCCTCGTCTCAGTGTTTTATGTGGTGTCTATTGTAGGCAATAGCATCATCATTCTGGTCTCATGCATGGATGTGCATCTCCACACGCCCATGTACTTCTTTCACACTAATCTTTCTTTTCTGGACATTAGTTTCATCACAAGCATTGTCCCACAGCTCCTGGTCAATTTATGGGGACCACAGAAAACCATAAGTTATGGGGGATGTGTGGTCCAGTTCTATATCTCCCATTGGTTAGGAGCAACAGAATGTGACCTCTTGGCAGTCATGTCCTATGATCGCTATGCCGCTATCTGCAGGCCACTACACTACACTGTTATCATGCATCCTCAGCTCTGTGCGGGACTGGCCTTTACCTCATGGCTTGGGGGTCTGACTACCAGCTTAGTTGGCTCCACACTCACCATGCTACTACCACTGTGTGGGAACAATCACATCGATCACTTCTTTTGTGAGATGCCTCTCATTATGCAGTTGGCTTGTGTGGACACTAGTCTCAATGAGATAGAGATGTACGTGGCCAGTTTCATATTTGTTGTTTTGCCTCTGGGTCTCATCTTGGTTTCATATGGCCACATTGCTCGAGCGGTGTTAAAGATTAAGTCAGCAGAAGGGAGAAGAAAGGCATTCAACACTTGTTCTTCCCATGTGGCGGTGGTATCCCTGTTTTATGGGAGTATAATTTTCATGTACCTCCAGCCAGCAAAGAGCAACTCCCATGAGCAAGGAAAGTTTATAGCCCTTTTCTACACTGTGGTCACCCCAATGCTGAACCAGTTGATCTACACACTTAGGAACAAGGACGTGAAACGAGCACTCAGACGTATTTTTACGGAGAAGTGCTGTGCTTTTGCAGAAAAATGAAGGCTACTTAAATTACGTCAGGTTTTTTGGGGAGAAAGAATGAGTGTAAATATCCTAAAATTAATTTTGGAAGAAAGGATATTTGTGCTGTATTTTCACTCTGTTTACTACTGAAAATAGGTGGTATTCTGAAACAAGAATTGTCCGTGCATTGCTTTAATAGAAAGATTAAAAAAGTATTGCTGTCCTTTTAAAATTTTTAATTATTTATAACAATGCCTGAAATTTAGATTATTTATTCCTTATGGAATACTTTATATTTTTTTCAATGTACGCAACTAATCAGCATGGTAGGTATTAATCTCACAGATTTTCAGAGGTGTATACTTTTTAAACTGATAGTTAGGACTAAATCTGTTCACCCATAGAAGAACTTGTCATTCTATCTATAACTTCCTTAGAAGGTGAAACTATTGGTACAAATGGCTAAGGAGTAAAACTGTGTTTGTTTTATCTGTAAATTAATACTTTCATTAATACCTTTAGTACGTGAAAAGGTTCTGCAGTATATGTTCAATCGCACATAACAACAAAAACAACACAACTTTTACTTTCCTATCCAAATCTTTTCAATTGGCATGAGTATTTTTTCAGTAACTTAACTGTATATTGAACTATTTTTTCCATACACCCAACTATGTATTCACTCATTTTTAAAGCAAGATATATTTGTGGAGAATGTAAAGATGAGCACATAATATGGCCATAAAACAGAGAAATAAAATTTTAAAAGTTGTCATTTGTTTAATTACTTTGAAGATTGAAAGTGTCTGATAAGTTTGATAATCTTGTTGCCATGTTATAGGGGGAAATTTAGTAAGAAAAAAAATTTGATCTAATTTTATTTTTTAGTATAAGTCAAAGAAAGTAAAAAAAATATCTAGTTAAAATATTCATTTTCTTTAATTATTCTTTGGTGACTTTTTCCCAAATATTGGTCCTTCAGAAATATTTCTATTCTTTAAAAAAAATTACATGTGTGTGTGTGTGTGTGTGTGTGTATATATATATATATATATCATGGTTATAGACAACAATAATATCAGCAAATGCTGAGAGATGTTTGGTCTTGGGGAAAAATGGAAACATTATTGGGATTGATAACTGTACAGAATTTTCAACTCTTAACTCCTTAGAGTAGTATAGATTTTTTAATACAAGTTAAGAGTATAAAGGTACATACAACATGGACCAATAATTCATACATGTATATATTTATGGTCAAAATAAAAGAATAGAAATATTAAATATGTGATATGAAAATGTAGCAAATATACTATTAAAATACTGATTTATCTTTTACTAAATTTGAATATAGAGCAGTAAATATTTAATCATAGATGATTGTGTTCAAAGTCTTCTGTAACTTAAGTACTTTTTTTACTAAATGCCATAAAAATATCCACTCCAAAACAGTTTTCATGTTTTGGAAACACTTTACAATAAGTTGATATATATTGGTTTCTATAATTAATAGTATTTTCCTTTATGCAACATCATGTGTTTCTTGTAGGCTATTTATTTTATTTACTTACATTCCTAAAAGTGATCTCTAAGATATAAATGTTGCTGTTGTTGTGTACCATTGATTCAAATTGACCTATACTGACCCTCTGGCCAATTTTCAGAGGCAGTTAATCACAAGGGAGGAGATTGCCCAACCTTATCTCATGGAACAACTGGTGGCCTCAAACTGTGTGCCTTCAGGATTGCAGCACACCTTCTTGGCTCCTCAAGGTTGTGATATAGCTGAATATACTGTTTGCTAAATTTCTTTATTATTGTTGTTAATGTTGTTATGTGCTATTGAGTCTCCTGTGACTCATAGCGACCCTATGTACAGCAGCTCTGAACCCTGCCCTGCCCTGAGCCAGACTCACTAATTCCGGTACACCAACCCCCATTGTTCCAGTCACTGTATCAATCCATGTCATGCAGGGTCTCCCTCTCCTGTGCTATCCATTCACTCTTCAGAGCACGATGACTTTCTCCAAGGACCAGTCCCTACTGGCCATGTTCCCAAAGTATGTGAAAGAGAGCTTCAAAATCCTAGCCTCCAAGGAGAAACTTGGCTTCACCCTCTCCAAAACAGACCTATTTGTTTTCTTGGAAATCAATGATATGTTCAAGACTCTTCTCCAGAACCACAAATCAAAGGCATCCATTTTTCTTCTGTCATCCTTAGTCACTGTCCTGCTTTCTGAAGCACAACTAGTAATTGTCAAGACCATGGTCTGGATTAGGCACGCCTTAGTCTCAAAACTGACACCGTTGCTTCTCAGGACTCTGGAGAGGTCCCTGAAAGAAGATTTTCCCAATGCAATTTGTCTTTTGATTTCCTGACTGGTGGGATTAAGAGTGTTGATTGTGGAGCCAAACAAGCTGTCATTATTAACAACCTCAATCTCTTCTCCATCTATCATGGTGCTGTCCAGTGGTTAGAATCTTAGTCTTCTTAATGTTGGGCTTCTATCCATATTGAAGACTGCAGTCCTCAACATTTTGCAGCAAGTCCTTCAGGTCCCTCCTCAGTTTCAGCAAGCAAGATTGTGTCATCTGCATAACTTAGGTTGTTGATGAATCTTCCTCCAATCACACTCCTCCTCATAAAGTTCTGCTTCCCTATAATCTGTTCTGCATATAGATTGAAAAGGTATGAAGACAGGATGCATTCCAGACACACTCCCTTGCTTATTTTGAACCATGCACTATCTCCCTACTCTATTCTGAGGAGTACTTCTTGGTTTAAGTATAGGTTTCAAATAAGCAAAATCGTGTTTTGAGAGTCCCATTTTCCTCAAGGTTTGCCACAATTTGTTGTGATCCATACAGTCAGATGCCTTTGCATAGTCAATGAAACACAGACATTTTTCTGGTACTCTGCTTTCTGATTAGAAATGTTTAAAACAGTAATTATATGTAAAAAAGAAAATGCTAAAATTTTGTATCTGATTGCAACAAATGTTATTTTTTTACATGTGTTTACTTCTTAAACAGGATAATTAATTCCTGACATAATTTAGGAACCTAGATTTTTCAAACAGTTTATGATTAACTCATAATATTCTCAGTATTATTGATGGTAGGTGCTGTTGAGTAGTGTAAAACCCATAGCGACCCTATGAACAACAGATCTGAACCCTCTCTTGTGCCATTCTCACACATCCTGACACACTAAAACCCACTGTGACAGTTACTGTGTCAATCCACATGATTGAAGAGCTTTCTCTCCTTTGCCAACCCTCTGCCTTGCTGAACAACATGCTCCTCTCCAAGGAATAGCCCCTCCTAGCAACCTGCTTAAAAATTATGAGATGAGGCTTTATCATTTGCCTTCAAAAGCCCTGTGGCTGCTCTTCCTCTAAGATATATTTTCTTTTGGCAATACATGGGATGTTCAGTATTCTTCTTCAACACCACAGCACCAAGGCATCAATTCTTCTTCTGTCATCCTTATTCATTGTCCAGCTTTCAAATACATAGCAAGGGATCTGAAAGACCATAGCCTGAATCAGACACACCTTAGTCCTTAAACAAACCTCATTTCTCCTCAACAATTTGAAGAGGTTCCCATTTGCAGACTTTTCCAGTGCAATAAACATGTCTTCTAGTTTCCTGACTGCTGGTTCTAAGGGTGTTAATTGTGGATCCAAGCAAGATGAAGTTGTTGACAGTTTCAATCTTTTCTCCATCTATTATGATGGTGCCTATCAGTTCAGTGGTAAGAATCTTTTTTTCTTGACATTGAGATGCAATCCATATTGAAGGCTATATTCTTTGATCTTCTTCAACAAGAGCTTCAAGCCTTCCTCACTTTCAGCAAGCAAGATTGTGTCAACTGCATAACACAGATTATTGACAAGTCTCCCTCTTGTCATAATGCCACATTCTTCTTCACAGAGTCCTGCTTCTTGAATAATTTGCTTGGCATACAGTGTTTAATAGGTATGGAGAGATAATACAATACTGAGTCTCTTCTTACATTTAAATTATGTATTGATTCCTTGCTCTGTTCACATAGCAGCCTTTTGGTTAGGTATAGGTTTTGCACGAGCACAATTAAGTGCTCTGTGATTCCCATTCTCAACTTGTTATGATCTACATAGTCAAATGCCTTTGCATAGTCAACAAAGCAGAAATAGACATTCTTCTAGTATTCTTTACTATAAGCTAGGATCCATCTGGCACCAGCAATGATATCCCTGGTTCCATAGCCTCTTCTACACCCTTCTTGAACTTCTGGCAGTTCTCTATCTATATACTGTTCTGGAGTATTTTGAATGATCTTCGGCAGTATTTCGCTTGCATGTGAGATTAATGATATCATTCTATCATTTCCTCATTCTGTTGTATCACCTTTCTTGGGAATCCAATTCCTTCAATGCAGCTTCAACTTTCTCCTTCCTTATCATTGGTTTCTGCTCATATGTTCCTTTGTGAAATTTTTACTTGTCAGATAATTCTTTATGGTACAATGATTATGTGTATTCCCTCTATCTTCATTTGATGCTTCCTGGGTCATTCATTGTATTGCCAATAGCATCTATCAGTATTGTGACTAGAGGCTTAAATTTGTTTCTCAACAAACTTAATTCTCAGTATTACTCAAGCTAAAAAACTGAAGAAAAATTCAAGCCTCAAGTTGAAATACTGAAGAATTCTACAGGTTGAAAAATGTTTATAAAGGCATAAAACATCAAAAGAAAATGGGAGAAATATTCATAATCACTAAATAAAAATTAATAGACTGAAACTGGGAACATCCCATGAAGTACCATGATCTAGAACCAATATTACTAAAGGAAGAAGTCAAAGGTGCACTGAATAATTTAGCAAAAAAGAAAATTCCAGTAACTGAAGAAATACCAACTGGAGTACTTCAGCAAACAAATGCAGCCCCAGACATGTTAACATGTTTATGCCAAGAAATTTAGAAGACAATATCTGACTAACTGGATAAGATCAATATTTAGTTCCATCCAAACAAAGGTGATCTGACA